CTATGTCTTCAAAAGTTTCATGGTCCACTTATTTTGAAGACATGAATGAGTAAGAAAATCAATTATACGACTCCCGATTAAAGAACAATTATATTTATTTATTTATTTATCTTTTGTTAGTCAGCATGGAATTAAAGTACTCTATTATATCGTGATTCCAGTAACACTAGTCTGTCCACGTAAGTCTTTTAAGTTTAAAAGGAAAGTTTTTTATTTTCCCTTAATTAATAAAAATTATTATTTGACTTTTATAGAATTTTTTTGGAAAAGATTTGGCAGAGAAAAATTTTTATCTCGAGACAAATACTATGAATTGTAAGCATGAAAACTTTTAAATAAATAAAATAAAATACCTAAATTCACCATCTTTTTTTTTTTTTTTTATTTTTTCCTTGTAGTTTTTATTTAGCCATATGGATTGTAGTCTGTAAGTTATGTTTTATATTGTAAATTATTCATGTAAAAAGATAATAAAAATAACTCCAAAATTTTTTAGGTTTCTCAAATTTATCGCCAGTATTTGATAAGTCGAATTTAAATTGTAATAGTGATCAATGGCGGCTTCAAGCTTACAGATGCAAAGCATACATTTCAAGTACATTTTTTTGTTTTGTTATGACATTGACTTGGATAATGTCTACCGCTTCATTAATTATCTATTTTCATACAATTAAAGAAGAGGCAGCTAATAATAATAAAGAATTTGAGGATAATGAAAATGTTTAAATTAAAAATCACAAACAAATTTTCTATCAAGTCGACGTTATTGATTTTTATTCTATTTCTTTTATTATGTTGAATTAACAATTTTTGTATACAGAACACCTTTTTCTTTTAATCATTATCAAAGAAATAAATTATTTTTTTAAAAAAAAAAAAAAAGTTTCATGAGCCAGCAGAAATGCGTATCATTGTTTCACTACATATGTTCGTATTCGAACCACTCTAAAGTAGCATTGCATAATAACAATATGTAATAAATATATATATTTTTATATTTTTAAACTAACACAAATGTAACATTTTTTAATAATTACACAGCAATATTATGTAATATTAGAAGACAATAGAGAAGAACTAATTTTAGTTGAAGGTGAGTGTAAACAAATAATAATTCCATTAATAAACAAAAAAATGTTCGTAATTATCAAAATTAATATAAAATCTTAATATAAATTAACTGGGTGAGGGTGACCCAGTTCTATCTTTTTCATTTTCATTTTGAGCAAATTGATTACGAATTTTCTCACGTTGAACACATAAATAAATTGTATATATGGTCGTAAATAAGAATAATAATGCCATGATCCAACCAATTGTCATGCTTGCAAGATAAGTACGACATTCTGTCAATCTACCAGGTATGTCTCGGAATTCTTCTTTTAAATCACAATTTAAATTTGAATTTGAATCATTAGTGTACACAGGATAGACGTTCGTAAATCCTAGCAACATCAAGTTTTTGTTTTTTTTTTGTGAGATTGTCGCGAAAAACGGTTCAAGTTTATTAATTAACTTACCAACTGCTAGCCATAGTAATAAAAAGATGCTAATTTAGGGTCAAATGTTTAAAATTAGTAATGCGACTTTGATGTAACAAAAATATATTATTATACATACATATCAAAAAAGATAATCTTTCTATGAGGCCCGGTTCTCCATTGACGCGTAAAAGTAATCAGATTAATCACTTTAAAACAAATCAATGTTATAAATACTTTTTAGTGAAAGAAATATAACCGAATGCATTATCGTTGTACTTACGAATATAAATTAATGTAACTATTATAACAAAATAGTACAAATATTTTATACCATGTTGTCTAATTTTAAAGCAAATTAAAAAAATTTTCTCTTTTTATCATTGAAAAAAAAAATCTATTTAGTAATTTACTTGTAAAATTCTTTGAACCATTCTTTCCATGATAATGGTAGCTCTTTATAATTATATCCAAATAGGATTAATTGGGTTATTTCTATTATAGGATGAATGTTAACAAAAAGATTTTCAAATAAAAACTATAAATTGTTTTATAAAACGTTCTCTGTTACCTAAGCCAATTATACATAGTAAAATTATGAATTGTACGAGTATTAAGAACAAATAAAATCCTTTCTCTTTCATCATTTTACTTATGAAAATAAGACAAAAAGCGAGAATATTTTCCTTTTATATATATAAATTCTTATTTCACCTGACTTTTTTTTTGAAAACAAAAGTCATAAATTATAGCGTCATTATATCTATTTTTGGCTTAAGCTATTACTAATTTATAAACCCAAAAGGGATTTTTCTAATACCTCGCGCCAAACATCAGCCGAATCAAGAAATCATAATTGCAAAAATGTTAAATGTCGATCATGAGTTAAATTTCGTCATAATGCAGATCTCTAAAACATTTTTAATAATTAATAAATATAAGAAAACTTAATCTAAATTTTTATAATATTTAAATATAAAATAATATTTAATTATTCAAATCCTATAAAAAATTAATTAAATATTTAAATAAAAACATAAATTTAATTTATCAAAAGTTATTTAAAGTATATTAAAATTAAAAAATTAAATGTAATTAAAATTCTCTAAATAAATAAAGTATTAATTTTAAAAATTTAAGTTAAGTTTAAGAATTTGATTTAATCTGATTTAATTTAAATTTTTTAATTAAAAATTTAAATTTTATAACTAAAATTAAAAATATTTTAATTTTTATTATATTTATTTATTAAATAAATTAAAGAAAATTTTTTTAATTATTATGTATTAAAATAATACTAAATTTTATTAAATTTAAATTAATTTAATTTAATCTAACAAAAATTTTTAAATAAAATTAAGATAAAACATTAATCTTATTTGTTTATTCAAAATTTTATATTAAAATTTTATTTAAATAAAAATTTTTAATATTTATAATATATTAAAATTAAAAATATTGGATATGTAAATTAATTCAACCTAAATTTAATCTAAAATTATATTATTAAAGTTAGCTAAATTTTTAATTATCTTATTTATAGCTGAATTATATAATTTAATTAAATTAATAAATTCAAATATAATAATTTTATTAGATAAATAAATTCAGAAGTAAATATAAATAATATTTTAAATTAATACTGTTACAGTCAGTTCTTTAAGTTGCTTATAAGTGGTAAGTGAAGCAATATTTATGGGTGGTAAGCAGAAGGTTTAATTTAATATTTAGATTTAGAAGAGTGTCAGTAAATTAACAGT